ATGCTAATCTTTCTTTTGCAGTGCTGTTCTTCATGACAGGAGCTAATCTAAAACTTTTTTGCAGCTACAACAGGGGGTTCGTCCGAACCCCCCGAACCCCCCCTGGCTACGGGCCTGGTTAATGGCAACATTGTAATTGAAAATATACCAACTATGCATGGGGTGGTACGCAGGTCAATGAAGCTTTTTTCAAAACTCTTGAAGGTGTAGTTAATGATCCTGGATTTGAAAAGTTCTTGGCTTCTGGAGCTTGATCTCAAAATATGGCTGATACCATTAAAATTTTTTATACCAAATTTGAAAGTGAGAAAACACTTTTTGGAAAGGAACAGACAAAAGAAATTTGTAGTTCATTACCAAGTTGTTTTGTTAAGTTTTATGATAAGGTTCTTGAGGTTGGGTCAAAAGCAGAAGCGGTATCAATTATAAAGATGAAATGTTATGCATCTCCAAGGAAGTAGTAGAATCTGAGTTGTTAGGAAGTAGTAGAATCTGAGTTGTTAGGAAGTAGTAGAATCTGAGTTGTTTGGCCCAGTACTTAATGGTATAATAGAGTGCACTTTGGAAACTATCAAAGCAAATGACAATGATCTTAGCACTTTCTATTTGGTTGGTAGGTTTGGAGGCTGTAAGTATGTACACAAGAAGGTCAAAGCTGCTATAAAAAAGTTTTTATAGCCAAGGTCGTTCTTTTAATGTAATAGTGCCTCCTACTCCTCAATTAACTGTTGCTCAAGGTGCAGTGATTTGGTGTATGAATCTAGAGAAGATTAAAGCAAGACACTCTGATGCTTTATATGGGATAGGAATATCAACAACAATGACAACAATGAGCATTACAAGTTTTATAATAAAGAGGAAGAAGAATACAGATGCACTAATATTTTCAGTGTGTTTTTGGAAAAAGGAGAGCTGGTGCAAACAGATCAAGTCATTACAATGAGTTTGACACCACTTCATCAATCAGATGAACAAATTACCATTGGCATCTATTCCACACCTAACCTTGGAGTTCAATACATCAACGATAAAAATGGCAAAAGCACAGTTACAAAAATAGTTCAATTACTTATTGATATTCCTAATCCCAATAACCTGCCTAGAGAAAAGCGTCTAGTTGATGTCAGTATGAATTTTAGTGGTACAGAAATTCAAGCTAAAGCAACCTATCGTATTACTGGAAAAAAATTCAGAGATATAGGTGACTTTCTTTCTGCTCAAACTTGGACTTAGACCATTAATTTTTTAAATTTACTTTTTATAACTGGCATGCATGTAGATCTAGTTCTAATTAAATTTTTACCTTCACACCCACGTCCATTTGAATTTAAGTTATGATTAACATTTCATTACAAGCTTTATTATCCTATAATTGTAAAAATGGAGGTTTATACTCCCTGGATCCCTATTCTTTCAGTAACCCTACAAATTGTAAACAAAACACTTTGAAATTGACAAAAATTCTAAAAATTAAGCACTATCACATTATATAGATTTAGTTTTGAGAAGTGCTTAATTGCAAATGTAGCTACATGTAGCAATATCTAGTCAAGCCTGTCTATTCTGGACACCTAGGAACCCAATATTGCTGTCCTAATTATGGAAATATCCTTACTTCAGACTCAGAGGTTTAATAAATATCAATACACATTTATATCGGGACTGCAACTACCTGCATGTCCTGATTATAAAAGGTGTCCTTATTTTAGGGTGTCCACAATAGCATGTTTGATTGTAGAACATAATATGTTATTTTTAACAAGGATACCGGTATCTCTTATAAACTTAAATTATTCTATTCTTTCTCACACAGAAACACACACTCTGTCAAAATGTAAAAAAATGTAAGACTCTTTGCAAGCTATTTTTGATTAAACACACCTTTACCAAAATACCATGCAAAAATGGTTAGTTTTATTTTTTGAAAATAAAAAAAGATCCCTGACAGTTTTGTGATTTGCAGCACAAAATAATATGAATTTATTGTTATTAGAATCTGGTGTTGACACTCACTGTTAATGATGAGTTGTGTCAAATTAAATGGTGAAGCCTCCATTGACATCCTATGTAACAGAATCGTGCCCAAAACAGACATACAAGATCA